AACCATTCAAAAAATTTTAGTCATCATCCAGTTGACTTTACTGAAGTGTAGATTCTTCCACTTTAGTGGTTGGTATCTCTGCTTCTACAAATCCAACTGGCTCTAAAACCACGAGGCAGACGACATTTTGGGAAAGGAACGTGGTATTGTGATTTTACATAAAGTCAACAATCTTATATTCTTTAGCCATAGACTACCACATAAATAAATGCAATTACTGCTATCTTAGGCAATTTGTGTGCAGCTGCAGCATTACTGAAGAAATATTTTCAAGAGTAAAAGTTTAAGTTCAAGAGCAAAAATACTTTGAAGAATTCTGAGGTCACCTTAAGTTAAAAGCTACAAAGCTGATAGATCCTTACAGAAGCTCATAGCCAGATTACTTATCTAATCTTGATTATTTAGATCTACTTTATCTTGAGCACCCAGACTTCACTCACTAGTTTCCCTTGTGCATCTATGAAACATTGCCTGGCAATAGCCAAGGATGCTATTAGGACCAGATAATCTTTTGGCAAGAGTTGCTTTGTGGCTACTCTATGGGTGTAATTTTGCAAATGTCTGAGTTTGCCATTTAGGGACAAGTGAGGATATCAATTAATAAGTAAGAGATATTAGATGTCCAGTTTTGTGGAAAAGAAGTTAATAGACTATAAAGGCTAAGGGAAATTCTTCAACTAAATATGTGATTAATTGACAAATATTTCTTGAATATATACTGTAGGTAAAATACGGTAATCTTATTAAAAGACATGTAAGTCAAGAACATTTCCAATAGCCATTGATGAATGAGTTGAAAGACTAAAACATAAAGATGTAACTAATATGCATAAACAAGATGGTCCATAATCAAGTGATTCACTTGAATATAATGACCAAGGGATTTCAGAGATACAAAAGAAGACTTCTAACTATATGATCCAGAAGCTGCTTGGAGAAGATAGGGTCTGTGCTAGGTGGTATCAGTTGGACAACATTTTGGTAGGTGAAAGTAAGGACATGTTAGGACAGCATAAACGGCATGAGAACATACTGAGGTATGTGAGTCAATGGTTTTAGAGAAAGGTAGCTGACTGGCTTGTTTAAACAGAATACTTGTTTTGGGGAGTAGCAGACAAAGAAAGGAAAGGTAAAACGAAGGAACGATGGCATCTCAAAGTTTGAAAGGATACATAGGGATTATCAAATCCAATTTCTACTACACTTATTCTAACTCATTTATGTCTACACACATAGAGCTTTTTTTATTCTGCTACTAGTATTTACTTTACACTATAGTAGTGGGGTTAAATTTCTAATACAAGCCAACATAATAACTGTGCTATAATACTTAGGAATAAGGCTTGAAGTTTGAGCCCTGGCTAAACCAACTGTGAGGTAGTTAACCTTAGATAAATTTATTCAATGTTTTTTCCTCATCTATAAATACAGGTATTAATACACTCACAGTGAAGGGAGGAAGAAAAGGAAGAAAATGTTTACAAAAGACAGAAAATGAAAAACCTGTAAAGCATATTGCTTCAGAGGTGAAGGTAGAATTCAAGGAAAGAAGAGGTTGTTAAATAGCATAAATTTAAAAAAGAGAATAAAGTGGTTGAAAAGTTCCAAAAACTACTGAATTTGACAATATGGAGATTCTTAGTCCATTTTCTGTTGCGATAACAAAATACCTGAGATTTATTTATATGCTTCTAAAGAAAAGACATTTATTTGGGGTACAATTTTGGTAGCTAGAAAATTCAAGTACTATGGTGCTCCATCTGGCCTCTCTGTAACATGGCAGAGAAATGAAAAGCAAAGCAGCCATCTGCAGAAGAGGCATGTATAAAACCAAGGAAGCAAAAAATGGGGAAGGGTCAGTGTTTCTCTTTTGTAATAACATGTTGTCTGGAACTTACTCACTTCTGAGAGACCTAACCCACTCAGAACAGTATTAATCTATTAATGAGGGTGACACCCCCATGACCTAATTATCTTCCATCAGTCCCCATATCTTAAAAGTTTTATCACCTCAATATTGCCAACACAAGCTTCTGGAACCTGAATCTTTGGAGGACAAACCATATTCAAACCATAGCAGATGTGAACCTTATGAAAGAGATTTTAAGCCTGGAATCTCAAAACTTTCAGAAGCTAAAGCAGGAGGATCACAAATTTGGGCCCAATCTTGGCAACTTAGTGACTTAAACAGAATCAATATAAATAAAAAGGGCAGGGGATTGTAGCTCAGTGCAATAGGTCCTTGGTTCAGTCTCCACTCCTGAAAATCAAATCAAATCAAATCAAAACAAAAGTAAAGCAGCTTTAGTACAAAGGGGAGAGGAAATCTGCAGAGAAAGGGCAGTGTAGGAGGAATGGGAAGCGAAGGAAAAAAGAACATACAGTGAGGAACTGGAGCTGCAGTTCATTTTCAGCTTCTCTTTATTTTCAGTGAAAGAGAGCAGGACAGATGGTTTTGACTTCATGGGGTTACCAGGTCAAGAGATACAAAGGCGCATAGTATCTCAGCTTAGAAGAGAAATGGCTGCTAGCTCCTACAAGAATTTCCAGTCCGAGCTTCCTCTTTGCATGATCCAGGATACAGTGACAAAAGAAGAGGGCAATTTCTGCTCACAAAACACTTTGCCTCTTCCTTTTGTCTAGTACTGCAGAGGAAGAAAATAAAATTATGCAATCTGCACATTTATAACATCACAAGAATGCCAGCAGAACAATGAGAAGAGACTCTCTGTATAGCAAAGCATCATTAATTTGGACTACACTAATTTGGAATTTGTGGTAATTTAACTTGGGCTGGAGTTAACTTTGTACTGCTTACAAAGAAAGGTTTCACTAAGCAAATAGTATGAAGGAGATTTCACAGGAGTTAATTTAGTTTGCCAGGGTCTTATTTTACCTACTTTAAAGAACATACTGTTTTTAAAGAACTTCAGCATATTCATTATTTGAATGCAAATTGATTCTGCTAATTATAGATTAGTGTAATCTACTGTTAAAATCCTATATCTGCAACAGTTAACTTTGTTCTCACTGAATATGCTCATTAGGAATAAAATATTAATTCCCTAAAGTTAATTCATAATTGAGATTAGTGCATACCCTTATCCCTCTCTCATGAGTTAAATACATTTCAGGAGGTATTACTCAAAACTAGAGCATTGTTTATAATGCATATTTATAATGCATATTTATAGGGACAAAAACTAGTAAGTCACCAAGAAAGGTCTCAGAACAGCCAAAATAGATGTATTAAATTTGGTGTGATAAATTCCATGTGCTCTATCCATGGCAGGTTCCATGGACAGCCAACTTAGCTCTTAACATAGTACTATATGACACATCAACTAAGAGAGCTGGAAAGGTTTTTTTCTTTCTTTTTTTTTATAAAGTTCATAACTAATTGGAAGAACACTGAGAAGAGTAAGAAGTGAATGCAGGTAGGAAACATGATTTGTGTAAAATGTAACTGTAGTTACTACAAAACTACCCCAGTCTAGGATAATTTAGTGTAGAATTAAAAGGCCTATATTCCTTAGTAAACCATGAAAGCTATAATACGGTATTAGAATGCAGAACAATACCTAATGACTGACATTATGCCCCTAAAGATCAAACAGAATTAGATTGTGTTAAATATATGTGCTTACAAAAGCAGATAAGCTTACACACACACACACACACACACACATCCATAATAGTTAACCTAAAAATATGAAATATGTTGGTGCTTAGAAAGACAAGGTTTGCATTACATAATAATGATGATAATAAAATAGTAACATTTATTAAGTGGTAACTATGTATAGATACCATCCTTTACCCACATTATATTAACTAATTTGCTAAGAGGTATATTTTATTATCACTTCTTAAAATAGAAGTCAAAGAAAGTGAAACTCAGAGAAGTTAAGCAAATGACTCCAGGCCACAGAGAGATACAGAGCGAGTGCTAGAATTCAGGGCAATTCCTTGACTATTAACCATTCGTCTTTGTGCTGCAAAAAATATAGCTCCTTTCTTGACGGCTCCACATAGCTAATGTTTTGCTGTATGTTCATTTTCCAGACTCATATCTAATAAATATGTTGATTTATTAGCAGAGAGAGCTCTGATCTAAGAGAAAGATATCATATTGTTTATAAATTCCATTTTACAAGTTGAAAATAAAACTATAGTTTAAAAAACTATCTATTGGGCCCATCTGAAAAATCTTTCACATCAGTCTGTGTATTAGAGATTCTATTTCCAAATGAGTAACCAAGAAACAAAAAGATGGAGTTTTAAAATATCAAAAGATCAGTTAATACTGAGTTGCCCTACTGTATTTTTATTCTTTCTGGAGGAATTTTAGATGAGAATAGATCAATAGGACATATAGGCTAGGGTTGGGAGGATTGCAAAAGAAGGTGAAAATTCAGTTGGCTGTTACAGAGGATTTAGAAGAATCTGTTTGCCAGCTGTGCTAAGAGAATTATAAGGGTATAAATACATGTAGGGATGACATGCATTTGGAAGACCAGAAGTAAAGTCACAAATATATGCAGTTATCTGTGTTAAAAGTAAATCGAGGGTAGCCTGCCAGATGTACATACAAAGACAAATGTACAGTGAACAATCACTCATACAATTCCTTCTACCTAAATTGATGCTCTTCATTCATCTCTTGTTTTGTGTCTACCTATTCTTCAAGGATCATTTTTAAATGACACTTCAGCCATGAAGCATTTCACAATGCCTAAAGCTAAATCAAATTCTTCCTTATTTCTTCTCCTAAAGGATTTTTGCCTCTTTTTCCTACTTGCCACAGCACTGATGATATTATATCTTATTAGCAGAGTTGTTCTTATCCATGTTTTCCTCTTTTCATTCTATCATGAAGACAAGGAACTTTTACTTCTTTAGTTCCTACAAGTCCTAGCATAGTACACACCATACTAGACTCAGGGAAAATGTTGACTAAACAGCACTGTCTAAAGACGCTATTTTATCACCTATCTTACCTGAAGGAGCATTTGTTCTCTTTCTTTTCTTGCTTGAGTCCCCTCCATTTTCAATGAGGCCTTCTGTGACCAGAGGGCCACTGGCACTACCAAACTGCAGGGGCTCGTTGTTGTTGGCAGGGTCAAAGGGCAGCTGGTTCAATCCTAAAGAAGAAAAAGAAAGCCAAAGTCCAGACTCCATTAAGGACGGGGTCATCTCCAGATTTCTTACATGAGCCACTAGTTGAAAACCTTTTAGGTCTTCAGTGCCTAGGTATAATAGGTGAATTCCTTAAAGACACTTGCCCTCTGAAATTTTTACAGATCTGGCTTATAAGTATAGAATTAAAATATAAGAAAGTTGTTTTATCATTCCTTCCTGTTACTGTGGGAACTTAACATCTTTGGCCACAAGCTAGCAGTTGTTTTCTAAATACTTCCTTTAAAAAGAAAGGACTAGCTGAGTACAGCAGCATGTGTCTGTTGTCCCAGATAATTGGGAGGCTGATGCAGGAGTATTGCTTGAGCCTAGGAGTCAAAGGCCAGCCTGAGCAACAGAGCCAGTTTCTAAGAAAAGAAAAGAAAAGAAAAGAAAAAGAAAAGATCTTCTTTAAGATGCCAGTGGGAGTATCCACTCTTCCTTTCTTTGAGTTTGTATTACTTGGTTTATCCCCTAAATTTTCCAGTTATTTTATTACAAGATTTGTTGAACTGATGCAGATACAATCATTAGACTGTCTCAGTATCAAAGTTACTGCCAATGAAAAGTCTTATAAAAAAAAAGAGGAAACCATAATGCCATGCCAAATGAGAAAAGAAAACAAAGACAGAGACATCTTAAGTTCATTATTTAATTGCTGAAGTGATAGGGAGTTATGACCCAGGTTTGAGTGGTATTAATCTGATCTCTTCAAATGCTGTTAATAGCATGGTCACTTTACTAGGCACTGTGACATCATATAAAAAGGAAAAAGGCATTTTCTACTCTCCAAATCCTCCAAATCTTATGTAATTCAGTCTGGAATGAATAAAGACAGTTGCTTACTCCACTGGCAGCAGTACCTGGAATTTCAAGTGTTTCAATTAGAACTTCATAAAATGTAGAATCAAAATCTTTGTTGGGGCTGGGGATTTAACTCAGTGGAATAAGCACCTGCCTTGCAAGCAGGCAGTCGTAAGTTTGATCCCCGGTACCGATAAAAAAGAAAAAGACAAAAAAAAAAATCTTTGTTAAAGCCCTAACTAAAAACATCTATTTTAAGTCTTTTATCCACTAGTTTTCTAGTCCTATCAAAAGGGAAATCAGGTTAGCCTGATATGATTGATTCTTTAAACCCCATTTTTCTGTAGCCATTAGCTGTATAATTCTTGAGGTAATGTATAAAAATATCAATAAAAAGCTTGGAATCCAGTTAGTAAAAGGTCAACCAAATTTCAGTAACATGAATGTTAAGATTCTAACCAAATGACTTCAGACTATTATTTTAAATAAAGTGTGTCCACTAGCTGATATTTTTCAGTCCACATAAGAAGTACTATTTCATCAGTAAGCATACTCTACTTTGAACACATCCATTAAATGTTCTTTGAACACTTAATCATTTACCAAACACCCATTTTTTCCATCATGTGAATAACTAAAAAAAATAATAAACCTTGATTCTATATTTTAAGTCAACTATTCACTGCATCACATCTGTGTCCTATTAAATCTCTAACATGACTAGAACTGAGTATTAGAAAATATTGATAACACAATAGATTCTATTTTCAGAGAATACTAGATTTTTTTACATTATCCACAAATAAAGATGCACTTGAATAATCTCAGACCCAAATATGATTAGTGTACTGCTCCCAAACTTCCCTTGGCATTTCTTTCCACAATATCCTAGTGATCAACACAAGTTTCATGAAGATAGAGTGGTATAGTAGAAAGAGCCTGACAGTTTCAAAATCAAGGTGTTTTACTAGCTAGTTTTTGGTAAGTCGTGTAATTTTAGTCTTAGTTTTTTTTTTTTTTTTTCTTCTCTTTCGTTTTTATTGGTACCAGGGATCGAACTCACGACTGCCTGCTTGCAAGGCAGGCGCTTATGCCACTGAGCTAAACCTCCAGCCCCAATTTTAGTCTTAGTTTTATAATGTATAAACTGGAATGATAAAACTGCAAACATGGTTCCTGCAAAGATTAACAAATACATGGTTACAATAATTCTTAGAATTACAGAATTAAAACAAACTATACCTATAAGCTTGTAATTTTTTCTAAGGAGGATATCTCTTCCTCCCTTTACTCCGCCACAGCTATATCCCTTGTGTCTAGCACCATGTAATAGTGAATGTTGAATGAATGAATTCATCTTCAATGAGCTGGAGTAGATGACTCATTAAATTAACCCATGTAATTAGAATAAAGAGTCGGCAGTTGATAATCAAGCATTAGTGCCATCACTGAAAAGTTCTGTTGCCGATTATAGAAATATTACTTAAAAATAATTAGATTTTAAATGCATCTCCATCATTTGAGTATTATACTGTAGGATGGATTAGGTGCTGACTATAAAGCTCAGGCTTTAGGTTCTGATTAGTGACTGTTAATCATAAAAGTCTTTATTTTACCTTGCATGTGATAATTTTACAGAATAATATATTAGTCCATTTTCCTGCTTTACTACGTAGTTGACTGAGGATCTTACAGTGCTTCAAAGCCATGGCCAATAAAAGGAGGCTAATAATAGTACTTAACTTATGGGACTGTTAAATATATTAAATGAGGTATGTAGAAAATTGTGCGACACATCTAACACATAGTAGATGTTCAATTGATCTGTATACATGGGTACACACATACACAAACACACATGCACACAGTACTGTCTGAGACACAATCCTTTTCTCCCACTTCTTGCTATTACCCAGGCTACCATCATTTCTGTTTGCTTTTAGAGTGAGCCAGGTGAGCTATCCAGAGAACAATCTGAGTGCTGCAGCTGGATATGACAGGGTCAATAATTATTAACTAATACTATTATAAGATTGAATTTCCATTTTTAATTTCTTGAATTATTGATGTATAGTAAGAAGAGATTGATCTGTACTAGCAACAATTTGCTCTGATGTGAAGGTGTATCCTACATTGCTCAATGAATCTTTTCATTGCTGTTTGTAACTTTTTGTAAAAGTTGAATAAATTCAGGGGAAAAAATCTGTTGAATTAAACATATTCATTTATGTCTGACTATAATTTTGTATGCTCTTTACTTGGTCCCAGATGACAATGTGAGTGACTTTGGAATTTTATTCCTAAAATAATGTACAGATCTTTCTGACACTGAAGAAAATGTAAATTTCAAGCACTTTCTTTGTATTCACCTTCAAGGCCCTGGCAATTTAGTGCAACATCTCAACCTTGCTTTTTGTTGGTTAAGATTTCCTAACAAGGAGAGAAAAACATCTCACTCAGCTGATCAATTTAAACACAAATCCACATTTTACATTATCCAGGACCCAACAGAGTCTGCAAAGATTTATAATTTAAGAGCAAGGGTTACAGGGATAGCAAAGTACAACCCCCCCCAAGACAGCACCAAATAAACCAACAACAATAAATAAATAAATATATATAAAGGATCTCTTCACTTTTATGTGTTTATGATCTATGACAAATATTATTTTAATTAAAATGCACCATTAAAATTATTTAAACCCCACAAAGAAAACAATCACTTTAATGCCAAGAATTCTTGTTGGTAAAATTACAATGATGACATAAACATAAAATACAAGCAATTATCATATTATTATTCTTTTTTTTTCTTTTGTAGTACCGGGGATCGAACTCATGACCTTGTACTTGCCAGGCAGGTGCTTATGCTGCTGAGCTAAATCCCCAGACCCTATTATCATATTATAATTCTTACCCAAAATACAGAATTTATCTTTAAATCTCTGATGGAAGCAATTCTTACCAGTTTCTACTAGATGTGATGAACTGGAAAATACTAGATTTGAAAGAACTTTTGAGGTTATTTATTTTCAGTTCATTTTTCTGTGTAATTTAGGAATCTATAGAGTTCCTAACAGGTCTTAATCTCGGGGCACTTCTTTGCCTAAGGTCCATTTCTTGCCAGGCTCCCAGGTACTTAGCTCTTTTCACTGTTTTTTTTTTTTTTTTTTTTTTTTTTTTTTTTTTTTTTGTTGTTGTTGTTGTTGTTTGGTCATTCCGAGACAAGGTCTTGCTATGCAGTTCAGGCTGGCCTTGAGCTCACTTTGTAGCCTGTGTTGGTCTTGAATTCTCAAGGATCCTCCTGCCTCAGCCTCCTGAATACTGGGATTACAGGCATGCGCCAGCACACCCAGCTTCTTCCCCTTTTAAAAACTACCACCTGTGCTATTTGGAAGCATTCTTTAAATTTTCCCTATACTGCCACTGGTATAGAATGCATTTTACTGAATTATCACGCTTATTGTCCCCAGAATGAACACATGAGATTTCTAACTTTTAAACGATTCTACTGATAATCACTGCAAGAAAAACAAATGAGAAGGAAAGGACACTAACAGAATAAAGTCAGAAGTTTTCTAGTCTTACACATTTCCCTAAGCCCCTGCTCTTATTTCTGAGAATAAACTTAATAAAATTTTGTACCATGATCATTCTTTTCCATCACATCTTATCCCCCCAAGCCCACAAAATTTAGTTTGTCTATACAGAAGCACAAACTGATAAAAATACAGACAGATAAGAAACATTAGTGTTATACATTTCTTGCTATTTCTATATCTTATGCTCACAATCAAACAAATCCATGTGATAATGTAATCTTGTCTAAAACCAATTTGACTAGTGTAGACAGCTGACCAGCTGTTATTTCACGTCCTGTCAAACCACAGATTATCTGACATCGTAGCACACATGAGGCCTCTTTAGAAAGTATGCATATTGGCGAAGGCTGGGGGAATGGTCCTTGGGGAATGACATTTCTCATCCAATGGAAGCAGGGGGTCAAACATCTCAGAATGATGTGTGATTCTCAGTAAATACTCCAATCTGCAGGTCAAGAAATTCATATGCAATGATGCCTATGATACACATGCAAATGATCCCTGGGATTTGTAGAATACACTGAAGAATTTTCATGATTCTTGTGAAAGAAGATCAATGA